CGGTGCAAAAAGGTAGTTTTATTAAAGCACCAGGATGGGACCCGCGGGCAGAAAGAGCTGCCCCAGGATTGTGAGGAGTGACTGACTATACGCTTCGGAGTTGGGGGACATAAAGGCAAGGGAAGTTACACGTGTGGGCCTTCCAAAGGCAAGGGCATGTGCCAAAAGAAGACACAGGATTCTGGAGGCCTGGCTGTTGTCAGGCTAAGGTTGTGTTTCCCTCTAGCAAAGCGTTAACATTAAGACAGTTAGGAGTTCTTGAAAGAAATGTTATATTCTGCTTGCACTGAGTCTTTGTCTATGGGCTGCAGGTTATAAGGAAATTTAATTTTATCTACCATTTCCTTCTGCCTTTGTTTCACACATCAGCATGACTTACCGAGCATCAGTTTTACTAGAGGACTTGCACCAGGGAAAACATTTTTATATTAAATGCAGACTCTTAGAAAGTAGAATTCAAAATTCACAGACATTTTTATTTTTTATTTATTTTTTTCAAAGTTTATTTCTGACAGAGAGAGAGAGAGAGAGAGAGAGAGAGAGAGCTAGGGAGGGGCAGAGAGAGAGGGAGACACAGAATCTGAAGCAGGCTCCAGGCTCTGAACTGTCAGCACAGAGCCCGACGTGGGGCTCGAACTCACGAACCGTGAGATCATGACCTGGGCTGAAGTGGGACGCTTAACCAACTGAGCCACCCAGGCGCCCCCACAAACATTTTTAATAACAAACCTCTGGCCTTAGGGAAAGCTACAGCCTAACCTTCCAGTCCTTTCTGGCTGAATGTCTACTCTCTTCTGCACTGGGGCTACTTTGGTAGGAGAGCACTGTTTGAGCTTCTTGATACCATTAAGGCAAACATAAATACTCCTTAAGGTAATGTCAATATTCTAGTCATTGTGTTCTTTGTCTTCTAGATATGTTTATTTCAGGAAGCCTTTGTGTCCTGGATCTCTCTGTTCTTAGGTGTGTAATCTAAGATGTCTTTCAGTCTGGCCACTTGCATGTGTAAGATTGTGAAGATAATGAAGCTCTTTCTGTTTAAACAGCCTCCCCTTCCCCAGGCAACGTCAGGCTGTGAGGAGGACTTCCCATAACGTTCCACTTACATCTGTGGGCATCTTCAGTTCTGTCACTTAGCACCTTCTTTGTCCCAGTCCCTGGGCAATGTGTTCCGGATACCTGCAAGGTGATTAGGACTAAGTACCTGCAATCCAGTGGAGAAACTGAGAAGAAAATTAACAACTGGAGGACAAAGGAGGACCTGGGCGAGAGGGCAGTAAGCCAGAGCTACTTGCTGGGAAGGTAGTTCAGCCTTTCAGGGGGAAAAGTCGTTCCATTGGTCTTAAGATGCATCCAAATTTTAGAAACATTAAGATGAGGAAAAAAATGTGTGTTTTGGCATTTGAAGAAATGTGATATAGAGTCGGCCTTGTCACATGATAATATCAAAGATGCATAATTTTAATACAGGAGCTTTGCTTCAACTTGAGTAGCGCTTAGAGCCTAGTTAGATTTTTTGGTCTGTTATTTTTGCCCCCCTGGCAGAGCCAGCCCACTAAACATTAGGACCATTTAACACAAATGAGAGGAGAAGCCTTGTTACTGAGCATAAAGAGAAACCAAGGAGTGTGCATGTGGGATTGAAAGAGAGGAAAAACTCAGAGACCACTGAAAGAAAATGAAGACTTGGAAATTGAGAACAAAAATAACAGAAAACTGTCAACCTGGAGTCATAGAGAGTGGCCAGTGTCCAGGATCCTGGGGTGGCAGGGTTATGAGTAGAATCTAACAATTCTCAATGAGTTGTTTGTGAACCGGGGAATTTGCTAAATAGTTTTTACCAAGTATAAATAGGTATTTATTTGGTAAATAGTTTAGAAATTTTTCATATTAATAGAAGTTGTTGTTGTAGTCAGATATTTTCCCAGTATAATTACCAATAATATTGGATAACAACAAGGCTGTTTGCCTCCTCTACCCAGTTTAAAACTGGGTTTGTTAAAAGTACATGTGAGGGGGGCACCTGGGTGGCTCAGTTGGTTAAACATCTGACTCTTGATTTAGGCTCAGGTCATGATGTCACAGTTGGTGAGTTCAAGCCCCACATTAGGCTCTGTGCTGTTGGTTCAGAGCTTCCTTGGGATTCTCTCTCCTCTTTCTGCTCCTCCCCTGCTCTTTCTCTCAAAAATAAATAAATAAACTTAAAAATTTTGGGGGGCACCTGGATTGCTCAGCCGGTTAAGCTTCTGGCTTTGGCTCAGGTCATGATCTTGTGGTCCGTGAATTCGAGCCCCACATCAGGCTCTGGGCTAACAGCTCAGAGCCTGGAGCCTGCCTTGTATTCTGTATCTTCCTCTCTCTCTCTGCCCCTCCCTGTTCGCACTCTGTCTCCCTCTTTCTCTCTCAAAAATAAACGTTAAAAAAATGAAAGTGCATATGAGTATTCTGGTTAGTAAAGGAAGAAGAAATAAGATAAATGGAATACCACTATTTTGTAACTCCTGATGAATTGATGGGTCTAGACAGTGATCATCAATGGGTACCAATTTCACAAGAAATGGCCAAATTGCCATTAGGTGCCTTCACATGGTAGTACAAAATGCCCTCTATAACACTGTCTGGCCAAAACAACCAGCCAGAAACATTCTAACATGAATCTGATCAAGCCTATCTAGCTACCAATTTAGAGGAAATACATGGTTCAGAGGAACACCCTACAGGAATGAGATTAGCAAAATCTAGGTCATGGCAATCTGCAGGATAAATGACCCGCCTTCTTTAACAAGGAAATGGGAAAGGAAAAAATTGGAGGGTGAGCATATAGACCTGCACTGTCCAATAGAGTAGTCAGTAGCCACATGCGGCTATTTTTAAATTGGTGAGAATTCAATTAAAAAAAAAAAAAAGGAATTCCCCAGTTTATGAGTATCATTTCTAGTGCAATGCAGAAATTCTAATGGACAGCATTGCTATAGACAAACAATTATAGGATCTGTGTGCATTGCATAGACCTTATTTGGATCCCAATTCTAGAAAATAGACTTTAAATTGTTAAACAGAGAAATTTTAAGTGACTCGATATTTGATGACATTAAAGAATTGTTTTTATTTTTTAAATATTTATTTATTTATTTATTTATTTATTTATTTATTTAGAGTGGGGGGAGGGACAGTGAGAGAGGGAGAAAGAATCCTAAGCAGGCTCCACGCTGTCAGCACAGAGTCTAATGCAGGGCTCAGTCCCACTAACTGTGAGATCATGACCTGAGCAGGAATCAAGAGTTGGATGCTCAATCGACTGAGCTACCCAGCTGCCTCAAGAATCGTTTTTAAAAAATGAGGTGTGATGGGGTGCCTCGGTGGCTCAGCTGGTTAAGCATCTAAACTCTTGATTTTGGCTCAGGTCATGATCCCACAGGTTCATGAATCTGGGATGAAGCTCTGGGCTGTCAGTGCAGAGCCTGCTTGGGATTCTTTCTCTCCTGTCTCTCTGCCCTTTCCCCTGTGTGTGCTCTCTCTCTCAAAATAAATAAACTCTACAAAGAAGCTCTTTTTAACAAATGAGGTGTGATGATGATATTGTGGCTTTTTTTTTTTTTTTAAGAGAGAGAGAAAGCATGCATGCATGCAAGCGCAGGAGAAGCAGAGACAGAACATTAAGCAGGCTCCAGGCTCAGTGCAGAACCTGACTCGGGGCTTGATCCCATGAGCCTGGGATCATGACCTGAGCTGAAATCAAGAGTCAGACACTCAACCGACTGAGCCACCCAGGCACCCCTGTGGTCATCTTTTTTTTTAAAAAAGAGTCCTTGTATGTAAGAGATACATACTGAAATAGTTAGATAAAATGGTGTCTGAGATTTGCTTTTAAATAAATTGGCTATGAATATTTTGATTACTGTTGAAACTGGGTGAAAGGGACAATGAAATTTCATTAAAATTGTTCTCACTTTTGTACAGGTTTGCCTCTTTCTAGAATAAAAAGGTTCTCCATTTACATATGTTTGAAATTGTTCATAATGACATATTTTTGAGTTTCTGTTTTTGTTTGTTGTTGTTGTTTTAAAAAGCATATGAGCACCTAGCTGCCTCAATATGACTAACTGGGAATTTGCTAATTTCCCCCTCTTTAGTAGCAGCACTGAAAACATTTCTCTCCTCTTAATGGTTCAGTGTACCCAAAACACAGGCCAATCAGTGTCTTCTTTAAAAGATGTTATACAGACTTTCCTCTGTCCCTACCTCTCTTTACCTGGAGGACAGAAAGAGGAGAGAGAATGTTAAAAGCGGAAAAGTATACATCCTCTCTACTGGTCTCCCAGAATGTGATAGGACAGATATCGGGAATTTTCTGGGATCTTGGGCCAACAAGAAGCCAGGAGATGGGTGCCCTTCATAGAATAACACCATGGTAGACATGGTTGGTGATGTTGTGCCATCTTTGGGGAGCTTACTGAAAGTTGCTTTCATCCACTTGAGTGTAGTTGTAATGCAGGTCTCGGCAGCCAGAAGCCTGAAGTACTGGTCCCCGCCATCCAAATCGCCATGTTTGGTGGGAGTGACAATAGTTTTTAACTCCCATTTATCTATAGGGCTTCCTCACCCAACTTCCTTTTACTCAGCATCTGGCTAAACTGAGGAGTTTTGCATGACATTACAAGGTTGTGTAAATGACAACGTATTATTGCAACACACATACAATTTTATTCACAGGAATCCAATTTTGTGAGAGTATTTCCGCAGCACTCCCAAAATACAGTGTTATGAGACGCAAAGGGAGGAGAAGGCTTCTGCCAAGTTGAGAATCATTTCCCAGACCCCTTTCCATCTCACCCTACTTGCTTCCTGTTGATGGCTTTGCTTTCCTATTTTATGTGGAACTTATTGGTGGAACATCTTTGCATAGCCCCATCCAGGAAGAAGCTCTGTGATGTGTGGGTCGTGAGTTTGCTCAAGCAAGTCAGACTCTTCACAAGGAATAGCGAGACGTGAGGACTGGGATGGAAGAGCTGGCACCAGTAGAAGTCCAGGGACAGCTCCCAAGCCCCCACCAGGGCTCTCTGAGGAAGGCCATGGCCGCTGCCCTCGCCCTGGATGGGGAATCCACAATGGGTCGCCGGAAAAAGAAGAGGAAAGAGTCCCGCCCAGAATCTATCATCATCTACCGGTCAGAAAATGAGAAACTGGATGAGGAGCCTGGGGAATCTGAAGGTGGATACCGACCTAAAGAAGAGGAGGGGGATGATTTCCTAGACTATCCTGCAGATGATGGTAAGTCTCTGGGGCCACTTACTTAAAGCCACAGGAAGGAATGAGGATTCTCCAGAAGATAGACAGGGATTCCCTCAATGCCCTACTTCTTCTTGTTGATACAGTTCTTCTCACAATGTTGCAGTCTTCATTCAACAAAGGGACAGTATTTATTAAGCATTTACTATGTTCTCTTCTCAGTGATATGGAGACCTCTGTCCTTTCTGAACTCCTAGTGTAATAGAAGAGACTGACTTATACACAGAAATTAGTAACACAAGGAGATTATGCTAATTATTTAATACACGTAAGATAAAGAAGCTGATAGTTGACTTTTACAAGAATCGGGAAAATGCAAATTATAACAGCAAGAAGTTATGATATCCCTTTACACATAAGTTGGCCAAAAGTTGGGTAAAATATGATAACATCAATCTGAGAAAATGGATATACTCTCATATACCTCAAGGAGAAATGGAATCTGCTTTACCCACTTTGTAGGGAAGTTGATCAGTATTTATTAAATTCCAAATATGCATATCTTATCGTCTAGAAATTCTTAGTATCTACCCCATGAAACTTACGCCTATAGGCATAAGGATGCATGTATAAGAATGTCTGTTGCTGCTAATGCAGCCGTGGACTGTCTGGATTAAGCATCACCATGCAGCAGTAGACAGATAAGGTATATCTATTTGTGTAGATGCTCTAATCTCTAAGACATAGGCCCACAGTGGACAAGGCAAGCAATGTCCCTGCTCTCACGCAGTTTACCTCCTAGTCAAGAGAAGACAGACAGTGAACAAGTCAGTAAATAAAAGGTAATTTCAGAGAGTGATAGGAGTTGCAAAGACAATCAACCATGGCGATGGTGGAGGGCATGGGGGGAGAGATTGCATGGCTGTGCAAGGGCCTCTGAGAAGTGACATTTGAGCTGATATTAAGGAGCTAGCTATGAAATGGACTTGGGCAGAGCTTGTAGAGGAGGGGGAGCAGCAGGGGCAAAGACCCTACGATGGGAGCACCACTGGCCTATTCAGAGAATGGAGCTATTTCTGTGTAGGGAGTATAGGGAACTGTGGGAGGATGGGCAGAGGTGTTTAAGAGGATTATGCCGGGCCTTGCAATCATAGTAAAGAGTTGGGGGTTGGTTAAAAGTGTAAGGGGAAGTCAGTGGAGGGCTTTTAAGCAAAGGAGAGACACCATCCCATTTATATTTCTAAACAACCACTCTGGCTTCTCTATAAAGAGTGGATTATAAAGGGTAAGAGTGGAAGCTGATGAGAGACTGTCGTATCACTGCAGCCACGACGGCACTAACATAGAGGCCAGGACAGGTGATAGCGGGAGAGACAGCTAGGGAAGAGAGGCAATGTGGAACTTGTTAACGGATCAGAGGCAGGTAGCGAGAGACGGGGAAGAATCAGCAATGATTCCACAGAGAAGTAGGTGGTGGTGTCATTTACTGAGATGCGGGAGATTGTGAAATCCTTAGGTTCTGGGGGAGCAGTACAACTCTTCTATCTCAATAGTCAGAGCCCTGGCCATTCTCCCAGGACCTGCTCTTTAGGCGGGTCCATTAGGTCCCTCTTGCAGTCAGGGAGCGAGAAGTCCTGCCCATACTCTCCCCCACCTCCACTCAGAGACTACTTTCACATATGAAGGACCACAGACTTCCCTGTATCAGTATCTCCAGCCTCACTCCAGGATGGATGGCCGAAGGATGGCCGTTTAATGGTGGTGGTGGTATGTGGGTGTGTGCATGTGGAGGGGGGGCATTTGTGATATGGGTGGTGTATGTGTGGTGTGTGTGTGTGTGTGTGTACAGAGCTTGGGTATGAGGGCTGAGATGACCCCAGGCATGTGAGGAAGCCTTTTCTCATGGAAGCACAGAGACAGGGCTGAGAAGGGAAGGGAAGCAGGGTGCCCATCAGTCTATACACACACGGTGCCATCTTCACACATGCTAGTAGACGCTCCCAAGCAGTATTTTCACAGCACTTATACACTAGAAATAAGATCATTCTAAAGCAGTGTCTGTGGCAAAGTCCCTCACACCTCTTCACATCACAGAGACTGTGCCAAGATTGAGGCCCAGAGAAGTGGGGAGACAACACTCTCCTGCTTCGCCGTTTTCTCAGGGCCCACCCGTGTGGAGGGAGAGTTGACTGGGGGAGTAATAAGACCAGCGGTCACCTTCCTGAGGGAGGTCCACTCAGTCCATCACTGAATCACTGACTCTAGGACTGTGCCAGGTGCTATGAAAACAGGAACTCTTGTACCCAGCCCCCAGCTCAGGGGATGACACTGTGATGAAATGCCCACTCTTCTGACCTTGGCTTCACCTCCTTAATGCCATGCAGGTATGTGGAACATGCCTTTGGACAGCCGCTATGTCACACTAACCGGGACCATTACTCGAGGGAAGAAAAAGGGCCAGATGGTGGACATCCACGTCACATTGACGGAGAAGGAGCTGCAAGAATTGACGAAGCCAAAAGGGTCATCAAGAGAAGTAACACCTGAAGACAGAAAGGCCTGCCAAATGGGAGTTGACCGTGGGCCCCACGTGGTCCTTTGGACGCTGGTCTGCCTGCCTGTAGTCTTTATCCTCTCTTTTGTTGTCTCGTTCTACTATGGCACGATCACCTGGTACAACATCTTCCTCGTGTACAACGAGGAGAGGACCTTCTGGCACAAGATCTCATGTTGCCCCTGCCTCATTCTCTTCTATCCAGTGCTCATCATGGCCATGGCCTCTTCCCTGGGCCTCTATGCTGCTGTGGTCCAGCTCTCATGGTCCTGGGGAGCATGGTGGCAAGCTGCCCGGGACATGGAGAAAGGCTTCTGTGGCTGGCTCTGCAGCAAGCTGGGCCTGGAGGACTGTTCTCCCTACAGCATCGTAGAGTTGCTTGAATCTGACAATATCTCAGGCACTCTCTCCAACAAGGACTCCACCCAGGAAGTAGAAACTTCCACTGTCTAAACTTCCAAGAACTTATTTCCTTCTGTGGTCCCAATAGCCTATATATCATCTTCCAATTCCAGAAGATTTGTTCTTTACATTAGCCCCCTACCCCTCTCAGTTCTGGAAAATTCTAGCCCACACTCTTCTGTCCTACCATCTTGATGGTTCCAGGAGAGCAGGGAACAGAAAAGCAATTTATGCCAAAGCAATCCAGCCATGGGTGAATTCTTCTCATTCCTTGCTCTAAAATGACCATTTATCTGGGACAGGAAGCTTAGTTGTGTGTAAGTTCAGGAGCTTGAAGATACTGGTGCCTGGAACCCAGGGGAGTATGTGACTAAAGGTGACAGGGTGAAAAGGGAGGCGCCAGGGAGACCAAGTTCACCAAAAAGAAGTAGGATGGAGAGAAACAGGAAGCAGGGCTACCACAGTGTAGCAGGGATAGTGTAGTAAAGATCTGTGTGTATCACTTAGATTTTGATTTAGTGGCATATGATTAAAACCCTAAAATATCCGTAGTTCAAATAAGATGGAAGGTTCTTTATTTCTTGTGCAGAAGTCTGGAGGCAGACCATCAGGGGACCTGATGAAGTCATCCAAATCCCAGGCTTTATTCCCCTACCATTAGTAGGAGGTAGCCCTCTTTGTCCTTGTCTTCAACACCTCTGTGCTGACTCCAGCTCCGGCCATCACACCCACCTTTCTGGCAGGGCAGAGGAAAGGGCAAAGTGCCTATCTTCCCTGTTTAAGGAGACTTCCCAGAAGTGTCACTCAACAGTTCTTGGATCTTATTGGCCAGACCTTAGTCACATGACCTCACAAGCGCAAGAGACTGGGAAATGTCTTTTGGTTGGGCAGCTATATTCTAGGCTAAATTTTTGGGTTCTGCTAATTTAAGCAAAAAAAGAAACATGGCTATTTTGGCAGGCATGAAAGAATCTCTGCCTCACAGTAATTACTTAAATATATCCAGATCCCAACGTGCTAATATAGTTTTATTTATTTATTTATTTATTTATTTATTTATTTATTTATTTAGGCCTGAATGTTACACAGAGAATTTATACATAGATACTAGCTATATATACTATGTATATGCTATAAATAGATATTAGCAGCTCATGTACTTTGCAATTAGTCTGTAATGTCATGTGGTTTCAGGGTTTTTAGGAAGGAAGAGTGAACAGTTGAATGCAATTGGTAGCATAACTTTTTTCCTGGTAGTGAAGGCAGGACTGGGCAGTGATATTTAATCTAATCTACATATTAACGATTGTGTAGGGAGGGATTGAAAACTTCCCCCAACAGGGATCAGTAGCCCTAAGCATGTAGAAGACAGAGTTAGCTTTCTGTCTTTTGGCAAGACCTCACTTACAGCCTCACTCACTCAGACCTTTCTGGAGTTTAAGGAACAGTGGCTTTCCACTGTGAAGCTTGTGTCTTCCTGGCCACTAGGGGGTGTAAGCCAGATGAATGCAGTTTGATAGAATCTGAACCTTTTTTCCTTTTTTTAAGGTTATTTATTTATTTTGAGAGAGAGAGAGAGAGAGAGAGGGAGAGAGAGGGAGAGAGAGGGAGAGAGAGAGGGAGTGCATGGGAGGGGCAGAGCCAGAGGGAGAGAGAGAGAATCCCAAGCAGGCTCTGCATTGTCAGCACAGAGCCCAAGCACTGGGGGCTTGGACCCACGAACCTTGAGATAATGACCTGAGCCAAAATCAAGAGTTGGGACGCTCAACCAACTGAGCCACCCGGGTGCCCCAAACTTTTTTTTTTCCTTTTTAAATTTATTCTTGAGGGTGTCTTTCTAATTTCAAAGAATTGAATCCCAAGAGGTCAAGCAGATTTTGGAGGTTTGGATCCTCACAAGAACAGCTGGTGCCCATTTCTTGTTCATGTCTCAGGAAGAAACTGTGGAAAGACCTGCCGTGAATCAAACCAGATGAGTCAGTAGTGCCCTCTCATGGAAGGCCCGGGACATTTGCCTAATGTATGGCGAATGCCACCTTCAGAAGAACCCCTTTTGAAAACAACGACAAAAACTTAGCTTCACACGAAACGAAACAAAACTTTGTCCAGCATTTTTGAAAATAAACTTGGTGCTCTCCAGTGCTTTTGCAGAAATGTAAAAAATTGAAATGAAGACAAAGAAAATAAAAATAAAATCTAATTAACATTTGTTCACATAGCCTTTGAATGTCTCTAAAATGGCTTTGAGTGCTTCAGCCTGCAGAAAACGGATGAGTGTGGTAGCTGTCCTATATATGTATAACCATCTTCATATGGATCCTTATATCTTGAATCTTTCCACTAATTTAAGGGGATTTACCTAAGCCTCCATTAGGAAGTTGCAACCACACTTGTCACATTTTTCTGGGATGAGGGAAACCAATGGCCAAGGCCAAACATAATCATGATTAGGACTAGGGTATAGTGGCCATGGTGGCATGGAGGAGGATGGGGTGAAGGTGAGGTTCAAGGGATTCTTAGATGAAGAGGACATGGCCTTCATCCTAGTTAGGCTCACAACCTAGTGAAAGAAATGGGCTTATAAACTGAAATCATTCAAAAAGGGCTCTAACAAGGTTTGTAAAAGCCTAGACTAGAGGCAGGAAAACTTAAACAGATCTAAAGCGATCTCATCTTTGCTGTCAGCAAATACCTAGAGAATAAATACCATACAGGAACATTCTGTTAGCTCATAGTTATTCAATCTTCATGGTGAATATCAGGAAGGAAGACTATGCTTTCCAACTGCTTTGCAGCCATAATACACTGAGCTGTGTAAACTATAATTAATCCAGCATGATGATATTGCTATTTCTAAACCATCTTGTCTATTGACATTAAGCAACACTTTCATGTCAGTTCAAGTCCAAGGGGGCATAAAACCCTTATTCTGCAGGATTTTCATTTTTTTAAATTTATTTATTCATTTTGAGAGAGAGAGAGAGAGAATGAGTAGTGGAGGGGCAGAAAGTGAGGGAGAGAAAGAATCCCACATAGGCTCTGTGCTGTTAGCATAGAGCCTGAGGCAGGGCTCAGACTCAACAAACCATGAGATCATGACCTGAGCCGAAACCAAGAGTTTCATGCTTAACTGACTGAGCCACCCAGGCACCCCTCCAGGATTTTCAATATAACAAGATGCTAACTTTTAAAAAGTTTAGATGACCTAAAAGTTTCCTTGTGCCCTTGATGGCCATCCGTTGCAACAGCTTCGTGGATGACATAATTCCCCCTCCCCCCCCCCTTTTAAGATGCAAACAAGCAGAAGTACTAGAATCTCTTATTCCTCCCAGGAAAGGAACCTGTACTGGAGAATGTGTGGGTGTGAGAGAGTGGGGAAGAGGGAGGAAGAGGAAGAGAAAAGAGAAGAACTAGAAACGACACGCAAGACAAAAGCACAGACATTGTTGACACAAAATGAACAAACCTTTTAGAATCTCTAAAAGTAAGAGACTTTTATTCAAGCCCAAGTGATGACATGCTCTTTGGAGAATGAAGTTTTTACAGAGATTCATGCTCTTTGGAGAATGAAGTTTTTACAGAGATTCATGCTCTTTGGAGAATGAAGTTTTTACAGGGTTATGTACTGTAAGGCACGAATCACCAGCTTAAACGCAAAGGGATGCAGGGAGTACGAGTATTGATCGATAAGGACAAGATGGGTTCCGTCATCCACAAAGCAGATGTATGATGTACATGTGGCAGCCCATAAATCAGGTTACGTACAGTCATGCTGACTTAGTAAGAAACCTAGAATGGCTTTCTTTGTCTATCAGGCCTTTCGAGAGTTTTTCTCTCATCAACATGAAGGTTACAAATTTCCTTCACCATAGTGAATTTCCAGTAATTCTATCTACTTGTTACATAGAAAAAAATTTTTAAATATTTGAGTTTTAAAAGAACCCCTTGGGTTTGAACCAAAAGCTTGAAGTGATGTGACATGGGCTGTGAACACATGATCAACATTTTTTTAATTAAAAAATGTTTTTATTGTTTTCATTAAAAAACGTTTTTATTAAAACACAAGGACCAGACGTGTGGGCAGAAAAAGCTTGGGATGGTGAGGAGCAATTGGTTATATACTTTTAAGTTGGGGGGTAGGTGGGTGAAGACAAAGGAAGATTCTAAAATGGATTTTCATATATTAAAGATGACTTACAGGATCTTAGAGGTCTGGCTATTGTCAAGCTACAGTTGCTTTTTGCCTCTATCACAGCATTGACATTAAGGCAGTTGTGAGTTCCTTGAGGAATGTCATCCTCTGCCTGTCTCAAGTATTTGTTAATGGCCTTCAACTTGTAAGGAAATTTAATTTTACTTACATCTTTTTTGCCTTTGTTCTCATCATGAAGAGCCTCCCCAGTTCTATGAGCATGCTCTGAAAATGTCTGACTCCACTGGCACCAGTGGATAACACTGTCTCCCTCCAGGCCCCTCCTTCCTCATGGTATCCTTATCTTTTCAGCTTCAGTTTCTGCTTATCCCAGGCCCATCTGCAAGAGGGAGAGAATCTGGTTGGATTTGATTCCCCGGTTTGGACATAAGTTTGCAGCTACTGTGCAGATTGCCGGACCCTTCGTGCAATCACCTCTCAGCTAGTTGGTCATTCGGTATAGAAGATCGCTGTTTCTGTGCAAGGCTAAAGCAAGCTGGGCACTTTCTTTTGAAAGGGGCAGTGAGCATGTCAGGCACTGTGACTGACAGCCCCCAGATCTAGAACACCTCCCTAGATTTGCTTTTGGAATTAAGCCTCACCTCCTCCCTTCCAAGCCGGCAACACTTCAGACTATTGGGAAATCCTTAGCGAGTGCTATGTCCTGCTTCCTGGCCTGTGCACGTCCCATTTCCTCTGCAAAGAAAGGAATCAATCCCACTCCTGATTGCCTGGAAATCTTCCTTCAGTAGTTGGTTCCAAAGTCATCTCATCTGTTTACTCTTTCATTAGCCCCTTTTTGAAAAACAAAACAAAACAAAAACAAAACCAAAAACGCCCACAACAGGCTTTTTAGAGA